TGAGAATGAGAGTATACAACCATTCTCAACACTATAGAATCATTTGCAACGGAAATCAAATGCGTGCTGTAACGACACGTTTTGCGTAAACTCAGAGGTCGGTCCTGAGTCGTTACAATAAATGTATAAATAATAGGAGACAATTTCAATCTTTATCTTTATTTCAATCTCTATTTATTAAAGAATTTGCTTAAATATAACAATCACTTTATATTTATACTGTAATTGCGTTGAAACTTATTATATAGAATTGGTAATAGTCATTATATTCTTTTCCTTTTCCTTAGTTTGCAAGTATAGCAAACAATGCATGCTGGCCTATATTGGTTACGCGAACCATTGACATTACTGTTGCAATCTGTCAAGTGTAATAGCATTTTCGTCAAATATCATTTTGACGAATCAACAAAACACAATTAGGTAATAAGTTAATAGCTCTCACCTACTGCTTAGTAAGCAATTTGTGCGAATTAAATTATTGTATATCTTGCACTATAAAATTACTTATGGTTGCATTTTATTTTTTTAGGCTTTTCACATCGGAATGAAGTAAATACAAGCGTACCGAGGCTTTTCACATCAAATGAAGTATATACAAGCATACCGACGCTTTTAACAACGGAGTGAAGTATATACAAGCATACCGAGGCTTTAAACATCGGAGTGAAGTAAATACAAGTGTACCGAAACTTTTATCATCGGTGTGAAGTAAATGCAAGCGTTCGAGACTTTTAACATCGGAGTGAAACAAGCAGAAGCGTACCGAGGCTTTCAACAAATACAAATCAAATCAAAAGCAAACATAGGACAACACGGAGATCGAAGAGATAGATCAAGTTATCCAAAATCAAAAGAATATTAAAGGTGAGATCTAGAGGATCTGGATTAATTTTAAAAATGATTCTACCACAAGATACTCAAGGCAATATTTTGAGCGTTTGGAGAAATGGGACGTATATAAAAACAATAATGATAACCTGATTAAAAATTTAAGTATTGAATCGTTGCAGTTTAAGTTGGAAAAATTGAAGAATTGGTGGGCAAAAATCACATAATTAAACGATGAATGCCTGTCCAGCAATGATGAAGTAGACAAAGGAGATTTCATTCAACTGGAATCAATATATGAAGAAGTATATATTCAATTTTAAGTAGAACTGAACGTTCGCAGTCAAAACGTTTCAGAAACCAGAACACCCGGAAGTAACAATATTTTGATATTGATACCACCGTTGAAAGTACCAATATTCAACGGCAGATATGAAGAGTGGTGTTGTAACGAACCTTTCTGGCCGGGGTTTTACTCGCCGGATTCAAGGTTCAGTCCTACAATAAATTTATTTGATAGGAACAGTGGAATACGGTGGATGGTGACGTTGGTACGGTGATATGCGCCCCTGACAAAAGGTTTGAAGAAATGTGAATTTCTTCTCTATACAATGGATTTTGGCGTAGAAATGTTAATTTCGACGCCCCTGACAAAAGGTTTGAAGATATTGGAATTTCTTCTTCATACAATGGATTTGGCGTAGAAATGTTAATTTCAGGCCCCTGACAAAAGGTTGAAGAAATTGGAATTCTTCTCTATACAATGGATTTGACGTAGAAATGTTAATTTCGACGCCCCTGACAAAAGGTTTGAAGAAATGTGAATTTCTTCTTATACAATGGATTTTGGCGTAGAAATGTTAATTTCAGCGCCCCTGACAAAAGGTTTGAAGAAATGTGAATTTCTTCTCTATACAATGGATTTTGGCGTAGAAATGTTAATTTCGACGCCCCTGACAAAAGGTTTGAAGAAATGTGAATTTCTTCTTCATACAATGGATTTGGTATGGGTGCTAATACTCATGTGGTATTATCACCTTACCGCGTAATTTACTAACGAAAATTTGATTTCGTTATGAACAATAGAGTAATAGAAATTTATATTTCTATTACTATTAACGAAATGTTAATTTCGTTATTAATTATGATTTTTAATAGAAATGTGTATTTCTATTAAAAATAAAAAAAATAAAACAAAATAGAAATCGAGATGTAAATTTCGATTCTTGGTGTTTCAGCACATGTAATATAGAGCGACCTGTTCTTAGCTCGCTGTCTTGCTGAATGCCAGTCTACTGCGTTTGCTTCGCCTTTTATACTTGTGATGTGCGAAGCAAGCAGTATCTTTGTTCTTGTGATTTCAACGGTTCGTTGTTTACAAGTTTCTTTATATTGTTGTTTGTTTTCTTGTTGTTTATTTTGTTTTTATTATATTTGTGTTGTTTGGTATTATTTGTGTAGTAAAATTTAGTTAGTGTAAATTTTATGTTACAGTGTCCACTTTAGGAATTGTTCGACCGATTAGTTCAACAAAATCATAATCTAGTGGATGTCGAAAGAATGCAGTATTTAAAAGGAAGTCTGCAGGAAGAAGCCGCCAAACTCATCAATCATTTATCATTAACAGCGAATAATTATCCTCATTAGAAATTCAATCTACATATGATAACAAAACGATCTGTTATATCGAAGCAATAGTGTTACTAAAAATCTCATCAAAAATGTCGAATGCACAATTCACGACAGGATAATTGTCACATATTCTTGAATTGTAGTTAGCAGATCCTTCGTATGTTAAACCAAAGGAGATTCAACTGTTAATCGGGTCGGATGTGTTACCAGAAGTGTTTAAAGAAGGTTTAATTAAACCTTCTCCAATGGCTCAAAAACACACTCTCCAATGGCTCAAAACACACTATTTGGATGGATATTATCACAACCTTTAGATGTAAAGCGTACAATCACAAACAAAATAACGTTATGACCCATGGTTTGCGGCAACAGCGACGAGTATTTAAAACGGTTTTGAGAAATAGAGGAAATTCCAAATGCAGACTTAAAAACAGTAGAAGATAGGCGTTGTGAGCGGCATTATTTTTTTGCTTCCCTTTGTTATACAACTGCCAAGATTTAGCATTTAGTATACATTTTTATATAATGGAACTTCAAGTAATAATTCAAAAACAAGATTAAGAATTACATGAGTGAAGTATTAATAGTGGATAAAAAGAAAAAGAAAACTATTTTTTAAATTATATAAACTAAATATTATAAAATAATTAAAATTAATGGATAGATGATATAATAAATGAGTCAATTAAATAGACTGCTATGAATTTACTATGAATATATTAGTTAGTTTGCTAGTTCTGATGGAAATAAGCGTTTCAATCTTCTGTTATGTGTGGCTTCGTCATTAGGTAGCTGCCTCATTGTTGGGTTAGGATGGAAAAGTAATCTGTCTGTGTGCTTTTTACTATTTTTTCGGATAACGTCTGCAACGAAGGGTATCTTTAAATCGCGATGAATGTCATAGTTTGAGATGTACCATTCAGCGTTGATGATAGTCCTAAGTATTTTTGATTGGAGTCTTTGCAGTATTTGGATGTTGTATTTGCATGCTGTGCCCCATATTTCGGCTCCATATTTTCATATTTGAGCGATTACTGTTTTATATACTAGTAGTTTATTTTCCACTGTTAGTTTTGATTTCGAGCAGAATAGCCAGTACAATTGTCCAAAGCGACGCTTAATTTCATTGCTTTAATATGGTCTTTCCAAGTTAATCTGCTATCTATAGTAATGCCAAGGTAATTTGCCTTTGTGTATGTTGTAATGAACCCTTTTTGGTTCGTTTAAAGCTGGGGTTGAACTCAGCCGTCCCCAAGGTCCACACAAGAAATTTATTTAGTGAGACCCCGTCACTTCTGATTGCTCTTAATTACAGATACCTAGGTTCGAATACCAATCGGAATCACAGACACAAAGGAATCACTTGACTGAAATAGACACGATATAATACCAGCACGCGTGACTGTTAAAGCTACGTGAGTGGTATTACAGGTCGCTGATCACACGCCCTTCCCTGTTCACTGTTAAAGCGCCCAGGGGCCGGAGACGTTAGGTGACTATTAAAGCTACCTATCGTTTCCGACACTATGGTATAGACTCACGTGACTATTAAAGCTACGTGAGTTATACCCCGTACAACCGAGATTCAGTTACTGTTGAAGCCCTGAATCTTTCTTACCTGTGTCTCTCACTTGTGTCGTTGTGCTGGATTCCCACCTTGATTTTACACCGATCAGGAGAAGCTAGTTTGTTTTGAACTCTATCAAAGCGGTAGTTATACCTATGAGCCCTCGCTATTATACCTGTTTTGCTTTTATTTTAATAAAACACTTTTTTTCAATTTATTCGCTCGTTTAGTTTTTTTATTTTATTCATTTAATTTATTAATATTCATTTTATTATCATATAAATAGCTAAATACAAATTTAGTTTTATTTTATTTTTTTTTTTAATTAAGTACTCTTTACTCTACTTTAAGTCTTTACAATTTATCAATAAGAGTGTTAAATTTTATATAGTAGCACATTTACTAGTTTAATCAGTTTATCTTTCTTAAAACAATCTTTTCGTGCAAAATTTCAATTTATGCGTACTCACGATTTATCAACAAGAGCTTTAAATTTTTTTTTAATTCATGTAATAACACATTTACTAATGTAATCCGTTTATCTTACTTGAAAATAATTTTTACATATAAAATTACAATTTATACGTACTCGCAATTTATCAATAATAGTTTAAATTTTCTTTAAATTCATGTAATAACACATTTACTAATGTAATCCGTTTGTCTTACTTGAAAATAATTTTTACATATAAAATTACAATTTATACGTACTCGCAATTTATCAATAATAGTTTTAAATTTTCTTTAAATTCATGTAATAACACATTTACTAATTTAATCAGTTTGCCTTTCTTAAAACAATCTTTTCGTGCAAAATTTTAATTTATGCGTACTCGCAATTTATCAAGAAAAGTTTTAAAAATTCAATTTCGATTGTTACAACTCTACTGGTTCAACTAATTTAATTTTTAATTTTTGAATAATTCTTTTGTTTATAGATACGATTTTACACTATTTCTGAGACTATTTAATTGTTTTTGATAATATCACCGTCGTCTTAGTTAAATAAATTCCGCTGCTGCTAACGCCAGGAGTTTTCCTTTTCACGACCGCACATAACCAGACAAGAGAGCTTCTTCCAAGTGTACGCAACTTTTATACCGTCAACGATCAACGGTGCCAGCTGTTGGTACGTTAAAGTTCAACGACCGTTGATCGAAGCTCGTGAACTGATCCCTCTGCAATGCACCAGCGAAAGTCTAGCTTTAGGGCGAATTCTACTTTTCCCTCTCATGTGGAAGCTGGAACTTGTTCTTTCTTTAAGCTTCGCCCTAGTTCTACACCTTTTCCACAAAAGCTTTCTTCGTTTGACAGCTCGTGTTGTTTTGTTTTGATTTTGTTCTATTTTTTTTTTTACAACGTGTTGTGCCGGTGAACGTGTGTATTTAATTCTATTAATTAGAAAATTATTTTAAAATTATTTTATTTTCCAATAAAGTTCCAGCAAAATAGAACACCCAACGATAGCTCAAGATATGTGCATTATTGTTTTATTCAAATATATTTGTTATGCATTAACAAATAACTTTCATGCAAGTTCAGAATTTGTCAAATGCAAAAATGACGTCGCTGATGGCAGAGGATCGCGGTGAGTTGGTTAAGTTAATGTGCTTATCCGTACTTAACAAATTTTATTTTTCAATGCAGGAACCGTCGATTATATGAGTTCAAGTGAGTGTTTCTTGTTGTGTGTTAGGTGATCGTGTTGTGTTTAGTAGACAGCTATCCCACGACGTTGTAACGATCAAATTTTTGGTTGACAAAATTTTGGCCGTTACACTCCCTCCTTTCTTTCGGGAAACGTGATTTGCCCTGAACCATTACCTGCCAGCGTGATTTCTGTGACGTTGTTTTGGACTCTTATATATTTTATAGAAGTCGTGTTGCTCTTTGATGTGGTGATCGTCTTGTTGAAATACACTTCGATGTTTCACTTGTTGCTGTCGACTTTGAATACTAGGTGGATTTTTCGATGCGTGATACTCGTAACATACTCCTACTTGTTTTAGAAGGCGGATTGTTTTTTCCTTTTGCTGTGGTAGTTGTGTTAATGGTAATGATTGGGTAAGACTAAGTATTTCATCATATATTTGACCTTTTGTCGAATTTGTTTTGATAATGTTATCCTTTTGCTTCCATGGTATTAGCGAAGTCTTTGACGGTGGTTGTTCTTGCGAGATGTTAAACACTTCTTGTACTGCGTGCTCTGGGGTATCTAGTAGCTGTTTTCCATCTGGACCTGGCGTTACACTGATAGGGCTTGCACTTCGGTGTCGTTGTACTTCTTCCATGCTACTAGGTCTTGAATCTTGCTGTTGTGGCACGTGCTCATGTATATCTTGCTGTTGACCAAATTCTGCTGGCATTTCGTTGAATTTAAGATTTGGTTGTCGTGGTATTTCTGGTATTTGCTTTTTGATATGTTTTAGATCTTGATGCTGTGCTGCTTGTTCTTGTGTAGCTTGACGTTGTTTTACATCAGGTGCTACCATGATGGGACTTGGATCTCGGTGTCGTTGCGCCTTTTGTACACTATTAGGTCTCGGATCTTGTTGCTGTGTTACTTGCTTCATTTGAACTTGTAATATTTCCTGTTTTTGTATGACTCGTGGTTGACAATACTCTGCTGACATTTCTTTGACTTTAGGACTTTGTTCTTGTTGTACTTCTGGTATTTGCACTTTGATAGGTCTCGAATGATGCTCTTGTTGCATTTGTTTCAATTGAACTTGCAATGTTTCTTGATTTCGTATTACTCGCTGGTTATTAAACTCTGTTGACATTTCTTTGACTTTAGGACTTTGTTCTTGTTGTACTTCTGGTATTTGCAGCCTGATTGAACTCGGATCTTGCTCTTGTTGCATTTGTTTCAATTGGACTTGTAATGGTTCTTGCTCTTGTGGAACTCGCTGTTGCTTAATTATTTTTGGATTTTCTGGGATTAGTTTGCGATCTTGTGGTGATACATGATGTTGTTCCGCGTCATTTCGATGTCGCATGCTTTGTGTTGGTATGCTTGCTGCAGTAGTTGAAGTAAAAATTCTAGATGTTTCTGCAGGTGTTTGCTTGGCGATTGGCTGGTGTTGCTGCTGGTTGCGGAAAGGTGACTTGGAGACTGGACTATGAATGACTTTATCACATTTCGGTGTATTGGCTATGCGTCTCATGGTCTTCTGTGTTATCAGCGGTCGTGCACATTCCACTGCTACGCGCCCGAAGACTACCTCGCTATCTCGTGCTCGACTTACTTCATTCTGCTCTTCGCGTAGTTCTTCGAAGTCCTCAGCTAGTGCTATTAATTCCTTTAGACAAGTGAAATTCCGACGTTTGATGTATATTTGGTACTCTGTGCTCATGTTGCGATATACTCGTTCTAATTGTGACTCTTGATTTAAACCTGCGTGTCGCATTAGTTTTTGTAGTTCCAAAAGATACATTTTAAACGTCTCTCCTGGTTTCTGCAATCGATTTCTTAGTTCGTCCTCCAATCGCTCGAAATATTGATGTGGCAGAAAGAATTTCAGAAAATCTCTCTTGAACGCTTCCCAGTGATTCCAGTCTTTCTTATTGTATCTAAACCACACCAAACCTTGTCCATCTAGTAACAGGGGCATTGTCCGAGGCAACATGTTCGTTGATATGGCATACAGATCCGCTAATTCTTCCAGTCGCTCGATAAACGTCAATGGATCGCTGTTGTCATCATACCGGATCGCCCATTTTCTGACCTGGTCGATGACGCTTGCCTGTGTGTTCCTTTGAGGAAGATACGAGTGTACATCATATTGTGGATGTGTATTTAATTGCCTTGCCGTTGTGTCGTTGGTCATGCTATGTCGCTCTGATGTTTCACTGTATTCTCTGCCGCGTGTATATTCCATGTTGCTTTCCCTGTGTTACTCAGTTTGTTAATCACCGCCGCAAATCTTATATTATTCAGTAGTATCCAGCCCGAATTCTCCGAGATACTTAAATCATGTTTCCGTAAAATAAAAAAAATATCTACGACCTGCCCATGTTAACTATGTATTTTACCTCGTTAATGACGGTAAAACAGTTGCTATTTGAATCGTGAAGTGCTGGTCTCAGGGTCCCTGCTCGGGCGCCACTTGTAATGAACCCTTTTTGGTTCGTTTAAAGCTGGGGTTGAACTCAGCCGTCCCCAAGGTCCACACAAGAAATTTATTTAGTGAGACCCCGTCACTTCTGATTGCTCTTAATTACAGATACCTAGGTTCGAATACCAATCGGAATCACAGACACAAAGGAATCACTTGACTGAAATAGACACGATATAATACCAGCACGCGTGACTGTTAAAGCTACGTGAGTGGTATTACAGGTCGCTGATCACACGCCCTTCCCTGTTCACTGTTAAAGCGCCCAGGGGCCGGAGACGTTAGGTGACTATTAAAGCTACCTATCGTTTCCGACACTATGGTATAGACTCACGTGACTATTAAAGCTACTTGAGTTATACCCCGTACAACCGAGATTCAGTTACTGTTGAAGCCCTGAATCTTTCTTACCTGTGTCTTTCACTTGTGTCGTTGTGCTGGATTCCCACCTTGATTTTACACCGATCAGGAGAAGCTAGTTTGTATTGAACTCTATCAAAGCGGTAGTTATACCTATGAGCCCTCGCTATTATACCTGTTTTGCTTTTATTTTAATAAAACACCTTTTTTTCAATTTATTCGCTCGTTTAGTTTTTTTTATTTTATTCATTAAATTTATTAATATTCATTTTATTATCAAATAAATAGCTAAATACAAATTTAGTTTTATTTTATTTTTTTTTTAAATTAAGTACTCTTTACTCTACTTTAAGTCTTTACAATTTATCAATAAGAGTGTTAAATTTTATATAGTAGCACATTTACTAGTTTAATCAGTTTATCTTTCTTAAAACAATCTTTTCGTGCAAAATTTCAATTTATGCGTACTCACGATTTATCAACAAGAGCTTTAAATTTTTTTTTAATTCATGTAATAACACATTTACTAATGTAATCCGTTTATCTTACTTGAAAATAATTTTTACATATAAAATTACAATTTATACGTACTCGCAATTTATCAATAATAGTTTAAATTTTCTTTAAATTCATGTAATAACACATTTACTAATGTAATCCGTTTATCTTACTTGAAAATAATTTTTACATATAAAATTACAATTTATACGTACTCGCAATTTATCAATAATAGTTTTAAATTTTCTTTAAATTCATGTAATAACACATTTACTAATTTAATCAGTTTGCCTTTCTTAAAACAATCTTTTCGTGCAAAATTTTAATTTATGCGTACTCGCAATTTATCAAGAAAAGTTTTAAAAATTCAATTTCAATTGTTACAACTCTACTGGTTCAACTAATTTAATTTTTAATTTTTGAATAATTCTTTTGTTTATAGATACGATTTTACACTATTACTGAGACTATTTAATTGTTTTTGATAATATCACCGTCGTCTTAGTTAAATAAATTCCGCTGCTGCTAACGCCAGGAGTTTTCCTTTTCACGACCGCACATAACCAGACAAGAGACCTTCTTCCAAGTGCACGCAACTTTTATACCGTCAACGATCAACGGTGCCAGCTGTTGGTACGTTAAAGTTCAACGACCGTTGATCGAAGCTCGTGAACTGATCCCTCTGCAATGCACCAGCGAAAGTCTAGCTTTAGGGCGAATTCTACTTTTCCCTCTCATGTGGAAGCTGGAACTTGTTCTTTCTTTAAGCTTCGCCCTAGTTCTACACCTTTTCCACAAAAGCTTTCTTCGTTTGACAGCTCGTGTTGTTTTGTTTTGATTTTGTTCTATTTTTTTTTTTTTTTTACAACGTGTTGTGCCGGTGAACGTGTGTATTTAATTCTATTAATTAGAAAATTATTTTAAAATTATTTTATTTTCCAATAAAGTTCCAGCAAAATAGAACACCCAACGATAGCTCAAGATATGTGCATTAT